CGGTCCACTATTTAAGAAAGGCGAATGTTCTTAATTTTATTTTAAGCACAATTTCGAATATCAAATAAATTTTTTTATAATAAAAATATAAAAATATTATCAACCTTTTTGTGTACACGTATGCGTGGCACGATTCTCTACAATTATAAAAGGTATATAATACGAATATACGTACGCGTGATTCGTTTATATAATTGTAAACAATCTAAACAAAAGCGGTAATAAAATCGGGCAACAAGAAAAAAGGTATTTAGTAAATCAAGATAATTAAGCCAAATATAAAAATGGTTAAGCGACCGTGCTAGAACCACGGAATTCGGGAATGCCTAACACCTTCTCCCGAATTAACAGAATTCCTTACTCAGGATTTCTGGTTCGCAGAATAACAAACAGAGTCATATTCTCTTCGATTCAGGGATTAAAACCGGTGACTTGGGACGCCTTAAAATTCCCAGGTGGCGACTCTGAAACAAACAAACAAATCCCGTTTCGACTGTCCTTTAATTGGAGAAAACTCCCTACGCCCATCGCGGGGGCGGAAAAAGGAGGTGTGACAGCTCTGGCGACTCTGCTGGGGATAATTCCGAAAACTAATTGTGTCCCTTTTGATACCAGTGTCCATGTCCAAAACCTAGAAGGTTACTTCAAAGTCTACCGGGCCAATGGTCAGAATCAGATCAATCTCTCCAATTGTGTCCCTTTTGATACCATCGAAGGCACGTACACAAACGTTGTTGGGTCGAATTCTCTCGGTACCAATTTCCATACGCTGCAAAGTTGAGAGTGGGCAAATGTATACCCCAGAGCCTCTGTCCAACATAACCCTTTTCACGTAGTACCCTTCGCATTTGAGTGTCAGGTGCAGGGCTTTGTTATGTGCGGCCCCTTCTGGGGGCAAGTCATTTTTGCTGAAGGAGATCTGGTTAATTGCGAAAAATCTTTCGGCCATTCTCCAACTGCTCTATAGGAGTCTCAATAGGCACATATGCTTCGTTAAGGGTCTTCATTAATACCTTTTGATGTTCGGTGGAATTCATCAACAGAGATAACATGGAGAATTGTGCGGGAAATTTTTGAAGTTGGTCGATCACCTCATAATCTGCCATTTTCATCTTTTGAAAGAAGGCCTCCGCTTCTTCGGCACTTATGGGCTTCTTAGATGGGAAGCACTTTCTAGTGGCATTGTTCACCTCTTCCAGATTGCAATACTTTTCAGCTAGGTTATTTTCTTGAACTTCTCCCGAGATTTCTTTGCCTTTATAAGTCACCACTGATTTGTTGTAGTTCCAGGGCACAGCGGTAGGATCCGTCATGGGCTTTTGTGGTGCGCGGCCAATAACCACGGGCTCACTCAGTCTTAGTGGATTAATTGGCCCTCGCGTCACATAAAATTCCTTGGGCACATACATTTGGGTTGTCTTATTCAACTCGAATCTCCTGGGAGGACTCAAAGTCATCTTCTTTTCTTTGTGGCCTCGAGGGACATAGAGAACAACATCTTTAGGAGGTATTGCCCTAGTTTCAACTTCAACTTTCTTTTCCGACTTTGGAGGTGTGGTTTTGTTCTTTTTCTCCCCTTTGTCTTGCTTCAGGGTAGCTTTTGGTTTCTTTTCTACATCAGCGATGGCAATGATGTCCTTTAACGCTGGGTCAAATTCCTTGTCCTCACAAATCATTCCGATTACCGGCCCATTGTTGTGGGTCGGCAATGGGTTGTTGGTCATATTGGGAATATCTTCATCCCTTAGCACTATCTTCCTTTGTTCTATCAAGTTCTCTATGGATCTCTTCAGAGTCCAGCAATCATCCTTGTTGTGCCCTTCTGCCCCTGAGTGATAGGCGCATCGGGTACCGTCTCTGTAGGCGGGTGATGGTGTAGTAGATCCATTTGAACAAGCTTTGGTAACAAGCTGAAGTAGGGTTCGCCAATGGGTGTAAAATTTGGCCTCTTGGGTGGTTCACGAGGGTGGAAATTATTTTGTGGAGGCTGGGGGTTGTAATGGTTTTGGTAAAGAGGCTGGTTTCTAGAAAATGGAGCTTGGTTCAGGTTGGCTTGTTGTTGTGGCCGGACATAAGGTTGAGCATTCATGACCGGGTATTGTTGAGTAGCATAGGCTACATCTTGGTGGGGGTAATAGTGTTGCGGGGTCCTTTCTGAGAAAAAGGATCTGGGAGTACGGTGCTTTCTTGCACCCGACGGTGCCATGGATGTTTCTTCCTTCTTCTTGCCCTTCGCCACCCCTCCAAACCCACCCTGAATAGCTTCGGAGGTAGCTCTAATGGCGGATTGGCTTAGAATTTGACCTGTTTTCAACCCATTTTCAACCATTTCGCCAATCTTGATGGCTTCAACAAACGGTTTACCCAATGCGGACATCATATTTTGGAGGTAGTCAGCTTCTGGAGCTTGGAGGAAACCTGTGACCATTTCAATCTCATCCATCGGAGGCTTTACCCTGGAGGCCTGTTCACGCCATTTAACTGCGTACTCTTGCAAGCTTTCTGAGGATTTCTTCTTTAAGTTTGTCAATGAGTTCCTATCTGGAGCAATATCAATGTTGTACTGGAACTACCTAACTAAATCCCTAGCAAGGTCATCCCAGATGTGCCAGTGGGATATATCTTGGTCCATGTACCACTCAGATGCGATGTCGACCATACTTTCTCCGAAATAGGCCATGAGGAGTTCTTCCTTCCCACCGGCTCCTCGCAGCTGGTTGCAATATCTCTTGAGATGAGCAATAGGATCGTCGTGTCCATCATACTTCTCAAATTTTGGGTTTTGAATCCCAATGGCAGATGCATATGAGGGAACATACATAAGTTGGCATATGATACACTTTTCTGTCCACTCAAGCCTTGTATGCTTTTGAGACTCTGTTCCATACTCCTTATCTTCTTCGCAATCTCTTCTTGCTCAGGGGTATTGGTGGCTTTCTCTTGCCCTACGGTGAACTCATACTGGGGTGGTTGGGAGTATAGGTAGGAAATTGTATAGGTTCCAGTGGGAAAGATGGTGTTTGGAAGGTGAAGGATGATGGGTCAAAGCTGGGCCTGGGCAGTGTAGGTTGTGTCGTATCCGAGCAAGGCAGAGCAGTGAAGATATTCGAAGTTGCACCTGAAGCTAACACCTGGGGGCGAGCCTCAGAAGGTGTTCCCACAAAGTTGACGGAAATAATAGGGTATCCTAGTGGGTTATTTGGATAGTTTATGGGGATGTTGGAGGTCCCACTTGCCCTGGGAAAAAGCTCCAGAAATCCAAGGATTGCATATGGTAGTTCTCTTCCGTTTGCCCAGGCGTCCCACATTTCCATCATGCGGAGACGCAGTAACTTGTTTTCCTCAGCAACTGCCGATTCTGAAGTTGGGATGCCCAAGATCGGACTCTCATCCGCAATAGGAACTGTTGGCAGAGTCATTTCTGAAGACATTTCAATGCTTCCCTTCGACCTCGTGAAGTATTGATGCGAAGCCAGACTACCACAAAACCAACCACATTTCTATAAAACTTGGGATAGGGATAACATCAGCAAATGGTTAGTTTGGAACAAATAACATACAGGTAATCGCACGTTGGGGGTGTGATGCACCTATACAGCTAAATGTATTTCTACATGTTTTGCAACGGTTGCATGCTTCATTCCAGCTTTTCTTTTTCTTTCCCATTTTCTTATTTCTACTCCCACTCTTTCCTTTTTATTTTATTTTTATTTTTTTGGTTATGGTCGAATCCTATGGAGATTCCCTACGTATCATGACCCCACATGAATCAGACCGGGCGTAGTTCTGGAGATAATAAATGTAAAAAAAGAAATAACAAAATATTTTGGGATTTTCAAATTTTTCATAAAAAGAAAATGCTTTGATTACAATGACTCAAAACTAACAGACTTGAAAAGGAAATCGACAGACTCTAATAGCAAGATGACAATACAGGCTCAAGAACCAACTAACAGACTCCGACAGAAAGAAAATACAGACTCGAACATAAACTGACAGAATCCAACAGAAATATACTAAAGTGAAAATCAGGAATACATTAACGCTCCTAGGGCCCTCGGGACATTATTTGGTCTCACTGCGGGCCTATATGCGAGATCCCCTTGCAACCGCTCCAAATCACTCATTATCTGGCAAACGAAAGTCATCACTTCAGTGAAGAAAGTGGTATGAGTCATGTCCTCGCACCCCTGACACTTCACGGTAATGTAGTTAGCAATGGCTCTGATTCTTTCTCGGATTTTGCCCTTTTCCTGAAGCAATCGCCCTATCTGCTGATTCCGGGCTTCCAACACTTGAGAGTCGTGAAGGTGTTGATTTTGCAATTGTTGTATTCCTTCATCCATCTGAGCCATCAAATCATAATAGTGTTCCCTGTCTTCTTTGAAGTCTTTAGCCTACTTGGTTGCCTCATTCTCAAGAGTAGTTACCTTTCTTCTCAGGCTGGTGATTGTCCCTTCATATTTTCTTTTCATTTGATGCACAAACTGTGCCCACCCTTCTGCGTTCTTTTCCAATTGGGCCCGGGATTTTTCTAGACTAGCTTCAGACTTTTCTAGGTCATCTTGACACTCAAGTGCTTTCTTTCTCAGACTGCTTATAAGCTTTTCGTCCGCTCGGCTTCTTTCCGGGTTTCTAGCAGCTATTCTCATTTTCTGGATTTGAGCTTTGAGGGCTTCATTTTCCTGAGTTAACTTTTTCTTTTCCCCTTCATCTACGGCAGCCTAGACACTGTTGCCAAACTTGAGGTCCCTGATTTGTCCCTTTAATTTACTTATTTTGGCCCTATAGCTTTCTTCTTTTGCCAACCAGCCCCACTGCTCTTGCGAGTCGTTGGTGAATTGCTGAATATGAGCTCTCTTAGCAGGTCTCTCCGGAATCTGGAACCTTTTACCAAACCAAATAATGTACTTGGGGTCTACTTCACCTATAGCTAGATCCCGCACCATAGTCTTAGGTTCAAGAAATCTACATTCACTCCACACCTGGCGAATTCTCCCTTATGGAAATACGGCTTTTGGGCCCAATTCAATGACATGTTTACTCAAATCTTCGTCATGGGGAACGGTTTGAAATCTTCCTAATTGGCGCAAAACCCTGTGGGGAGCATACGGCTGGATGCTCCGGATGCCCATCAGGAGGAGATAACACACTTCAGCTGACATGTATACTACTTCGGTGACGGGAAGCCATCCGAATGCCCACTCAATTTTATCGGCGGTCAATGAGCTCAAATGTGCAAGCCAAGCTTCAATGCCCTCGGGGAATTCAATACCCACTACTCGGCTTTAAAATTCTTCAATGCAACTCAAACCGGTCATACCATAATTCATATACCCAACCCGGTGGCATAGATGTTCCTGCATCCATAATTCTAGTAACAGATTGCAGCCTTGGAAGAACTTTCCCCCTTCCCGACAGATAGTCAAGGCTCGGTAGATTTCAGATAAGATTAGGGGAACCACAGTGCTGTTGGCTTTCTTGATTGCAACATCGATCATTCCTACGAGACCCACCTCTATATTACCATCTTTTCGCGGACAAACTACAACACCCAAAAAGGCACCTATAAAAGCCAAACCCCGCCTTGCCTCCCATTTGTCTTTATTTCCGGCATGGGTCAGACCAGTGTTCGGCTCTTCAAAACCCCGGGGGTTACCATAACGTTGATACAAGAATTGGAGAGTGCAATATCCTGCAGATAAATTTCCATCCTGAATATCCCGACTAATACTCAGCAGATCGTGAAATCTGTGGGGAGATACCAATCTTGGTGACACTTGATATCGACTTCTAAGGTTTCCATTAAGGCCCGCATAACCCGCAACTTCCTCCAGTGTAGTTGTGAGCTCAAAGTCAGAGAAACGGAACACATTGTGAGTTGGGTCCCAAAAAGGTACTAATGCTTCAATTATGTCCAACATTGGCTTGATGTTCAATAGTCCGATGAGACCTCCCAGAACATTTACCACGGTTTCTCTACTGCCTTTTCCTAGATCATTCCACCACATGTGGAGCTGTAAGGGGATCTCTTTAAGGGCTGCGAAGGGTTCAATTTCATTTGGGCTCATCCTGCACATTTATTAAGGTGAAGTAATAACTCATTTTGACCCAAAAGAGTGAAATCATTTTTCAAAATTTTACTTAAAAAAAAATAAAACCCGGTTTTGCAAATACGACCTTTCAACACTTTGGGGAAGAAGATTTTAAGGTTGTGCCTGCTAACTGGTCGAAAAATAAAAAATTACCAAAAGCGACTGTTCTTGTAAAAATAGCTTTCCGACGCCTTTTTGGGGACATTCGGCTTATTTTAAACAAGAATGGCATCACCCTACTTATTTGTGAAAAAAATAAAATTTTGTTTTTTTGGGCTATTTTGCAAAAGGGAAGTTGGACCCGATGGGGGTTGCCTACGTATCCCACATCCAGTGAGAATCAAACTGGCGTAGTTCGGGCAGATTTGACAAAAATGAAAACCAACTAATTTTAAAGACAAAACTTTCATTTTCTTTTCTTCTTTTTTTTCAAAATTTCGGTAGAGTTTCAGTATACTTTGGACATTGTTTTTTTTTTCAAAAATAAGCAATTATCTCTCTTATCCCTCACACTGATTTTTCTTTTTTTCCCACTTTTCTCCTATTATTCATAAGCCGGTCAACATGCAAATCCGAAGCAAATAAATGCACAAGTAGCACGCAGGATGCATCAGGATGGTCTTTTCATTTCGGGTACGCCTGTCCTAGACAGACCCAACCCCTGTGTTGAGTCTCCTAAGTCAAATGCACCTGATGCAAACAAACGTTCCTACTAGGGATCCGGCATGAGGTTTTGTTATACTAGGTTTAAAACCTGGGTTTATTGTTCTAGACCTAGCTTACCCGAGCGGACAACTCGAGCGGGGGGGGGGGGACAGCGTACCGGGAATACAGAAGCTTCACCGGCTTAGCAACTTGTCCGGACCTCGTTCTAAAATGGGATAAGACTCTAGACAGAAGAGAAGTCACATGAAGTGCACCTTTCTCCATGATTTAGAAGACTCAGAGAGAGGGAGGGTTTCGTAGCAGTTTACATACAGTTCACAAAATATCAAAGCGGTAAAAGCATTTAGCACATTAGGCTCAAACATGTAGGAAAATCAGATAACAGATAACAATCATAACAGCTATTCTAAGCTCGAATTCTTGAACCCTGAACCAGAGGTTCTGGGTTCGATCCCCAGCAGAGTCGCCAGAGCTGTCAAACCTCCTTTTTTATACCCCGAGGGCATATAAGGGAGTCTTTTCAATTAAAGTGATATTATTCGAAAGGGTATTATTTATTTATTTTTATTCAGAGTCGCCACTTGGGATGGTTTGTTTTCTAGTGTCCCAAGTCACCGGTTTCTGAACCAGAAATTCTGAGTAAGGGATTCTGTTAACCCGAGGGAAGGTGTTAGGCACCCTCAAATTCCGTGGTTTGAGCACGGTCGCTTAAGCTATCATAATTGGCCTATTATCTGATTTTAATACATGTTTTAGCCTATGGTGCACTTTTAACTTATTAACCGCTTTTAATTATTTTTAGGAAGATTCAACGTTATTTAAAACACGCCTTGAACCACGCCACATGAAATGCACCCGTGGTCCACGACACATTTTATTTAACATTGTTGAGATTTGGATTTGGATCACATGAAATGCACACCCGAGTTTAAGAAGGTAATATTATTAAAATAACACGCCTAAAGCAACTATGCATTTTTAACTTTGCGAGGGCCATGGAAATTTGCTAAATGGCGCGCCTCAAATTCTAATGATTTAAAAGAAATAGTTAAATGAGGGCCACACATTTGAGATTTTATTTGGCGCGGCGCACCTCAATTCCAATTTTTAAAAAGGGAATTCAAGCTAAGTTTTTGAAGGCCATAAGCTATTCGTATCGCCTAATATGGTGCATCTTCAATTTACTTTGAAAATCCAATTAATTAATTCAAATGGACTTGCAGAACGTCTAAATGTTTAATGAAATCCTAATCCTATTAATTAACTAGCAAACATCAACTTAAAGGATCAACAAAATCAGAACCAATTTTAACAAATAGCACTGAATCCAATCTATTCATATTGCTTTCGAGCTTGGACCCAGTGAGCCCAATTCTCAAAATGGAGGGACGGTCAAACACCCATAGTAACATGGAGTCTAAAGACATCTGCTATTGGGCCAACTTTAAGCCCAAGTATTCAGAACAAACCATTGTTAACCCCATTTACAAGAATATCGATCAAAGGGTTATGAAGTGCAATTGAGACAACATTTTAAGCTCAAAGTGACCAAACTCACAGTTCTTATAAACTAATAGCTTTAGCATTATGAACAAACAGATCATCAATCATTTGAAATAACAAAATACAAAACTCAAGCACCTTTCAATTGAGTTTTTCAAGCTGCTGTCACATCTCCCATACATAATTACTTCATTCAATGATTTACAGATTAATATGGTTCCCTCAAAGTCAGCATGCATTTTTAGCACATGTTTCTCTATACCCCATTTTCATGCCTTAAATCCCAACTCCAAATGATTTTAACTCAACAATTAACTTGCAAACAACGACATATTTAATATAAACTAAATTACTACAGAATTTTAATCACACAAGACAGTAGAAATCAGCAGCAATTACAGAAGAAGTTTAAAGTTTCCATTTGAATTCCAACTCAAACTTTCGGATCTTTACACAGCTTTAGTCAAGCTTCAATTCCATGATATTTTCAAAGGATTACCTGGAAATTGCAAAGGCGAAGAAATGACGGATCAGCAATAACAGTAGCAGGAACTAGCCCAGGTTCAACAATCAACGGTGAAACCAGCCTAAACAACTCAATGGAACAGTACACAACCGGAAAACTTGAACCACTTTTCTGAAATTTTAGCTATTGATTTTTCAGAATTTTTATCTCTATTTTTCTCTTCCCAAAAATCTGACTTGAGCTTCAAGCAACAATGTCTTTATAGGCCAACTATTAGGGCAGCCTTAAGGGTTTAGTTTTTTTTCTTTTAGACCTTTTCCAATTTTTATTTTTGCAGCTTAGTCCCTAAATTTCTGACTTGTTGGTCAAGTAAGATTATTTTGCAGCTTCTAAGAAGCTTCCTAAGGCTGTTAACAAAAGATTCTTTACCTAGACTACCCAAAACACCCTTTTACCCTCTGTTAATTAACCAAAAGACCAAACGGGTATGGGTCAATTTGACCCAATGGTCCAATTGCACAATTGGGCTTGCCCTTCTTTCCCTAAATGGGTCAGAGAATTCTAAGACTCAAACAACCCATTAACCCAATTAAGATTCTGAAATACTTAACCAAAATGTAAACATTTTAGCGATTAAATCCTAGACTACCCAACCTATTAACCAGAATTACTAAATTAGTGAACTAAATTAATGGACTAATGTTACTGATTAAAAAAATATAAAGCTAATCATGAATGAATAAATAATTACGGAAGAAATGAACACATAATGAGGGAAGGAAGGGAGGAGACAGAAAAAGAGATGAAAGTGAATTTAATCAAAGATGAAGAAGAAAAATGCAAGAAAAAAAGAAAAAGACTGAAAAATACCTAAACTGGACGGGCCAAATCTTGAAGTTAATCCTCAAGCCTTTGATTTTGACCGAAATGGGTCTTAATCATGTGTTCTCAAACGAAAACACATGAACAAGGTCAATTTCGGCCTCAATCTTCACTAAACTCGCATGATTTGAGTTTTTTGGGAATTTAGGGTTCATGCTTTGATTTAATATTCGAGCAGTTTGAGGGGGATTCGAGGAAATCTAGGTGAGGATTTGGAATGAGGAGGTGGAGGAGAAACAGTGGTGTAATTTTGGGTGAATTTGGCTACCAGCCGCCGCCGTGGGCGATTTCCGGCGGGCGGTGGTTTAGGGTGGCGTTACGTCTGAGTTCTGAGAGGTGTTTGGGAGATGACTGAGGGGATAGTGGGGGTGGTTTGAACATATATATGTTAAATGATACCCAATTTCGGACCATTGGATTAGGAAGATCCAACAGTCGCAATTAAATACATACAAAACGGGGTCGTTTTGGTTATGGGGGTGTGAACCGGGTCTTTTGGTGGATTTTGGGCCGGGTTTTGGGTTTTGGACGGGTTTCTTATGGGTTGGCCCAAATATTGGGTCTTTTATCGAGAAAATCTTTTTCGCTTCTTTTTTTCATTTTCATATTTTGTTAACTACAAATTAAAATAAAACCTGATTTAGTTCCAAAACTAAATTAATAAACTAATTGCTTCTCAAAAATTAATTAAATCCTAAATTAAAAGAAAACTATATTCGAAAATTAAAAAGTCAAAAAATGCAAAATGAACTATTTTTGTTATTTTCTTTCATTTTTTGCAACATTAATTAACTAATTAACCTAAAAATATAAAATAGGACTCTAAATGCAAATGCAACATATTTTGTATTTTTTATGAATTTATTAAACATGCACACAAAAATGCAAACAAACAAAAAATCATGCAATAATTCTTAAAAATCAAATAATTAAAAGAAAAATCCTAATTTTGGGAATTCTGTAGGAGTAATTCATGCGACGCAAAAATCACGTGCTCACAAGTATCAACAATGTGTACCTTCTACTTCGGCCCTGACTCTTCCACCTTTTTGGTGAGTATACTCATCTGTGTCATTAATGTGGCCATATTTTCAGCAAGAGTGTTGGATGGATCTAAGGGCACTGAGTGAACTACTGGAGTGATAGGTACCTTCCTGGTTGTCCACCCCGAATTCTGTGCCATCTTGTCAAGCAGGCTCTGCTTTCTCTCCATGTTTTGCTCAAGAATGCTCCACCAGCTGAAGCATCAACATTAGCCTTCACGCTATATGTCAAACCCATGTAAAACCGCTGCCCCAACATCTGATCTGGAATACTGTGGTGCGGACATATAACCAACATCCCTTTGAACCGTTCCCACGTTTCTTGCAGTGTCTCCATTGATTTCTGTTTGAAGCTCAAAATTTCATCAATTTGCTGAGCAGTCTTGTTGAGTGGATGAAATTTATTCACAAATTGCTTGACTAAC